CTAGGAATTGACAAACTTTTTCTGTATTGGGCAGGGAGTAAATTTTTTTTTTTTTTTGAGTTGGAGTCTCATTGTACTCCACTCTGTTGTACTCCGTTGCCCAGGCTGGAGTGCAGTGACACGCTCATGGCCACCCCAGTGCCAACCTGCTGGGCTCCGCCGATCCTTCCGCCTCAGCCTTCCAAGTGGCTGGAACTACAGGCGCGCGCTACCACTCCTGGCTAATTTATTCATTTATCATAGAGACAGGTCTCGCCGAGTTGTCTGGGCTGGTCTCAAACCCGTGGACTCAGGCAATCCACTCACCTTGGCCTCCCAAAGTGCTGGGATTATAGGATGAGCCACTGAACCCGGCCTAGGTAGTAAATATTTTAGTCTTTGTGCCCATCACAGTCTCTGTCTTGCTACTCAACTTGCTGTTTTAGTGCAATATGTAAGTGAACGAGCATGGTCAAGACAGCTTTATTTATGGACACTGACATTTAAATTTCATGTAATTTTCATGTGTCATGAAATGATACTTTTCATTTGAATTTTGTTAACTGTTACAAAATGTAAAAATCATTCTTAGCTCATGGCTCATACACAAAAAAGCAGTGACCTCATCTCTACAATAAATCAAAAAATCAACCGGGTGTGGTAGTGCACGCCTGTAATTCCGGCTACTCGGAAGGCTGAGGCGGAAGGATCGCCAGAGCCCAGCAGGTTGAGGCTGCGGTGGCCGGGAGCGGCCACTGCACTCCACTCTGGGCGACAGAGTGAGACTCCAACTCAAAAAAAAAAAAAAAAAAAGCAGGGGGCAAGACTCGTCCCTTGAGCTGTAGTTGACTGAGCCCCAGGGCAAACCCTGCAGGCAATATTGTCAATTCCCTACCACTCTATTGGCCTCTTACTTTACCTGTAAGCCAGAATTGTTTGACCAAAAACAAGGAGCATGGTGGTGTACATCTGTAATCTCAGCTACTTGGGAGACTGAGGCAAAGGATCCCTTGATCCCAGGTGGTTGAGGCTGCTGTGAGCTATGATTGGACTCCAGCCTGGGTGACAACACACATAGGTTTTCATGTGCTTCATTCTTCCAGCCTGATTTACTTGTTCTGAAATGTAAGAATTGCTGCATGGGATTGTATATACAAAACATTATGCATTCTGAACTTAATGGATGGCTGAGGGTTTTTAAGTATATTTCTGCCCATCGACAGTTCTTACCCTATGTTTGACCTTAACACATAATTCCACAGTATGGGCCTCTCTAGCTCAAGAAGTTGCTGTGTGACAGTTTTCAGTGTGACCGTTCTGAGTTTATTGCCTCCCTATTCTAAGTGCACCCTTCTTTGCCTACTTTGTGATATTAGAGCTGGATCCTGTCAACACTTTCCCTGTGACAGCTGGCACAGTATTTACCTTGGTGTCTAAAGAAGGCTAGGGGAGCATGGAGGACACTGGAGAAGGAAGGGACTTCTCTCCCTTTTTCCAGCGGGCTGTCACCTACACATGATGACCGATAGCACTTGGGATACCCAATGATGCTCACTCCATGACCTTCAGTGGCGCCCTCACCACACGCAACTTTCTAGTCACTGCCGCTGGTACCCCAGCCAGCTTCCTAACAAGCCTTACACAAGTCCCAGAAAGTTCCAGAAGGAAACTTCACATTGAATTTCAGAGGCACCATAGGTGGCTTCCCAGGAAGTTTTGTTCTGCCAGTGCCCCAGAGAGTAGCTTCCAAGCAAATTTTGTTGGCATCACCCTGCAGGTAGCTTCCAGAGATTTCGACCAGCACCCTAGAGGACATCTTCCTCGTAACTCCCAGGAAGTCTTGCAGGCACCCACTGGACAACTTGCTGGTGATTTCTACCAGCAGCCCTAGAGAGCAGGTCCCTGCTTGCCAGCCACGACTTGGGACACCCCCACAGACTTCCCACTATCCAAGGGGCCACGGCCACATCCTCTCCAGTGAGGTGTGGATTTCAGCCCTGGGGCCCACCCTGTTCCTGATTCGCTTCTCCCTGGCTCTGCCTCAGCCCGGCAGTCATGGCTGCCCCGCCACCCACTGTGTACGTGCTCCTTAGAGTTCTTGGTTTCCCTTAGGAGCTGAGCCCTTGCTGCTAGCTGATGATTCTCTCATGAAACTTTCCCTGTTAAAATTACTGTGTGGTTTCTGTCTCCTGACTAGACCCTGATTATAACAATCAGTGTCAAAACCTTTAGAGCAGCAGTTGATTAGGGGCTAGTCTTGAATCTGTTCAGAGGACGGTCTTTCCACACAATTATTGTCACTTTTTGACTGGACGGCAAGTGAAATTTCTGTTATGAAAATAATTTCCTTTAAACGAGTACTGTTTCCTTGTGTGTTGAATTTTGTATAGGTCTTTATCGTGGTCATCATAAATACCTTGTTTTTTTTAAATTAAAAGATCTGGTTTTATATTTATTCCCTTTTTCCCCTTTGTCCTTTCAGTACGAGAAACACAGACAGGAAGTGTTCAGCACAATGCTTAGATACTGACCTAGTGCCCATCATGCATTTGCAGGCATTGCAGAGGGGCTGCGTGAGATGAAGCCTCCTTGCCCTGTGAACGGGATGCAAGTCCACTCAGGAGAAACGGAAATACTCAGGAAAGCAGTCGGAGACTACTTCTCCTTTTGTTACGGTAACACTCACTTTAAGCGTGAATGCTCTAAATGCCTCACTTAGGAGTGAGATGGTGTCCCTGACAGTTTCTTTGGTGTGACCACTTAGAATGTTTTGAACATTTAAAACCCTACATTCTCATTAAGTGGACAGCTAGTTCTTAATGACCAGAGTAGGTGTTCTTATAGAAGACTGTTTGGATCTTGGATCATCAGATCCATCAGAACCTCTGTATTTCTTTTCTTTTTTTTTCTTCTTTGGAGAGACAGGATCTCTTTTTGTTGCCCAGGTTTGTCTTGAACTCCTGGCCTCAAGCATTCCTTCCGGCTCAGCTTCCCCTGTTGCTTGGATTATGGGCACGAGCCACTAAACTCGGCAGAAACCTCTATATTGGTCAGTCTTTGTTCCTTGATTCCACCTCCGGGAGCCCCCACACCAAGACCAGCGCAACTGTTGAAGACATTCACGGTTGGCTCAGTCACCCTCAGGTGTCTCGCCACCTAACACATGCTTTCCACACGTATGAAGACAGGGAGAAAAAACACAAACCCCTACAGATAGGGCCGGGCGCAGTGGCTCAAGCCTATAATCCCAGCACTTTGGGAGGCCAAGGCGAGAAGATTGCCTGAGCCCAGGGGCTCGAGACCAGCTTGGCTGACTCAGTGAGACCTCATCTCTACAGTAAATCAAAAAATTAGCTGGGCGTGGTGGTGCGCCCCTGTGGTTCCAGCTACTTGGAAGGCTGAGGCAGAAGGATCACCTGAGCCCAGCAGGTCAAGGCTGTGGTGGCTGTGAGTGGGCCACTGCACTTCAGCCTGGACAACAGAGCAAGACTGACTCAAAAAAAAAAAAGCTAGATAGCAACACAAGCATTACACGTAATTGCAATAAAAGGAACTTAGCATCTCAGGGCCTTGATTATCACTCGTAGACAGCTGTGTGCATTTCTGTGACCTCCAGATCCCTGTGAGCATTTGACTTTGGGGACCTCCAGCATAGAGTATTTTGGGGTCTTGAGCTACACTTTTCTGTGAGAATTGGGGCTCCAGTGCCACAGGGCTCACCAGCCAGTGCAGAGAAACTGGTACAGCCCCAAGGGGCAACTTGAGGCCACATTGATAACTTTTTTTTTTTTTTTTGAGTTGGAGTCTCACTCAGTCGCCCAGACCGGAGTACAGTGGCCACTCCCGGCCACCGCAGCCTCGACCCGCTGGGCTCCGGCAATCCTTCCACCTCAGCCTTCCGAGTAGCCGGAATTACAGGCACGCACTACCACGCCCGGCTCATTTTTTTGATTTGTTGTAGAGATGAGGTCATGTCAAGTTACCCACAGGCTCAGGCAATCCACTCACCTCAGCCTCCCAAGGCACGGGATTACAGGCTGAGCCACCAAGCCCGGCTAACATTGGTAACTTTTGGCGCGTTGGCCTGACTTGAGTGGCTTGATGTAGTGTCAGGGAGTCCAGCCTTGGGCAAGGAGCTCTTATCCCCTTTCGACAGCAGCCTAGGTGCTAAGGGGTATTCTTGGAAGCTCTAGGTATACCAGGGTGAGTGCCTCAAGTTGGGTAACTGCCAAGAAAGTAGTGAAAAAGACCCCTTATTCTCTGTTGTGTGAAGGTTTAAAGTAAAACATTGTATACATTTTTAATTTGAGCCCTTTGGTTGAGAATTCTGTTAACTTGGGATATGGAGGAATAGGGCACTTTATGCTTTTAATATGTCTTCAGGGCCAGGTGTGGTGACTCACGCCTATAATCTCAACACTTTAGGAGGCCCAAGTGCGAGGATTGCCTGAACCCATGGGTTCAAAACTAGCCTAGGCAACTTGGTGAGACTTTGTCTCTACAATAAATAAAAAAATTAGCCAGGTGTGGTGGTGCACGCCTGTAGTTCCAGCTATTCAGATGGCTGAGGCAGGAGGATCACCTGAGCCCAGCAGGTCGAGGCTGTGGGGGCCGTGAGTGTGCCCCTGCACTCCAGCCTGGGCGACAGAATGAGACTCCGACTCAAAAAAAAATGTCTTCAAAACCAAATGTCAGGCAACCCCCTCGGGTCCTCTCCCACTGTGGGAGCTTTTCTGTCCTCTCAATAAATCCTGCTTTCTAAAAAAAAAAAGCCAAATGTCACTGTCTGTGTTTATTAAATTCAATTAAATTAAAGCTAGTAGAGTTCTAGATCGTGCCATCTAAAGCTGTTTGCCTCTTCTAGGTAAAGCCTTAGGGACAACAGCGATGGTACCTGTTCCCTACGAGCAGATGATGCGAGACCCGGCGGCTGTGGTCGTGCGGGGCCTTCCGGAAGGAGTTGCCTTCCAGCACCCTGAGAATTATGACCTCGTCACCCTGAAATGGATTTTGGAGAACAAAGCAGGGATTTCCTTCATCATAAACAGGTGACATGCTCATCAGCCTCATAATCCTGGTTCATTTAAAGATAAATTGGTAGCCTAATTTGTGAACTGTGTCCTGTTCATGTAAAAATTGAATGTTTAGATGTATGGTACTCTTTTTCGTGTGTGTTCATGTGGGTAATGGTATTGCTTTTCTTGCAGACCTTTCCTAGGTCCAGAGAGTCAGCTGGGTAAGTGACAGCTTCTCAGGCTTAGTGGTGATCTGTTAAGCCACTTCCGCTTCTCTTCATTAAAATGCAGTTTTTGGCACAGCCTCTGCTTTCTCCTCATTGAGGCTTTCTGGGACGAGGGGCCAGATGTTTGTAGGGGAGCCGAAGCTCAGAAGCTCAGCACCCTGGGCTGAGAAAGCCAGGCCTCGGCCTCTCTTGTCCACTCTCCTGCCAATGGCATTCCACAACAAGACTGGGGAAGACAGCGATTCCTGCCTCATCCTCTTCCACGAGAATGTATGGATGCTGGGAGTCGCTATGTGGTCTTTGACCGGCAGCCATGGGCAAACCATTGTGGGGCTGGAAGTAGATGTGTAGGATGTGTTCCCACACCATCTAGGAGAAGTTGTGAGACTGACAGAGAGCCAAGGGTGACCTGGAATATGCCCAGCATGACTGGAGGAAGTCTCCAGGGGCTGTGGGAAGGGGTTAGAATTGCTTAATCGGATGGGCTTCATGGGAGAGCTTACCTTAAAGATAAGCAGGGTCTCAACGGGTTGATTCTCTTGGGAAGCCCATTTCATGCGAGCAGGCAGAATGCTGCCTGAAAGAATGTTTGAGACCATGTTGGGAACGCAGAATACCTCCCAGTCTCCTTATGATGAAAGGATCTCCCTCCTCCACCCCCTGTAAAAGTAACTTTGCCAGAAGCATCTAGAGTTTTGTCTGTGCCGCCCTCTTCTGTTCTCAAATTATTATTTTGGAATGTATTGGAAATCTTGATCTAAAGAGGATATCTCAGAGGATGTCTTGCTGAAACTGCTTGGGTGGGGTGGGTTGCACAGTTCACAGGGCACCTGCTGGGTATTGACGGTGGCGTGACCCGCTCAGATTCTTCTGAGCCAAGACTAATCACAGAGTTAAGTCTGTTTCTGGAGCAATGGTGAGTTCCTGTAGACCTCTAGCTCAAGCTAAAGGAGCAACCAGAGAGGGAAGGTGGCAGGTGATCCCATGACTGTCATCTCAGATGACTCGTATCTTCATCACAGAATACCAGTACAGTGGTCCCCCCTTACTTGCAAGGGGCATGTTCCAAGACCCCCAGTGGATGCCTGAAACTGCACATAACACCGTGCTCTATAGATACTGTTTTTCCTATGCATACATCCCTGTGATAAAGTTTAATTCGTAAATCAGGCACAGTAAGAGATTGACAACAATAACGAATGACAAAATAGAACAATTATAACCGTATGCCAGCATCACTATTCTTGCATTTCGGGACCATCATTAAGTCGAGTAAGGGTGGCTTGAACACCAGCACTGAAGTCCCTCGACATTGATCTGACGCCTGAGCGGGCTGGCTCCTAAGTGACTGACGACTGGGTTGTGTAGACACCGTGGGGACACGGGACAAAGGCATGAGTCACATTCCAGGTGGGCGGTACAAGGCTTCACCACGCTCCTCAGAGTTTAAAACTTAAGAATTGCCTGGTGCGGTGGCTCAAGCCTGTCATCCTAGCACTTTGGGAGGCCGAGGCGAGGGAACCACCTGAGCCCACAGGTTCAAGGACTGCCTGGGCAACTTGGCGAGGCTTCATCTCTACAATAAATGAAAAAATTAGCCGGGCATGGGAGCGCGCGCCTGTAGTTCTGGATCCTTGAAAGGCTGAGGCGGAAGGGTCGCCGGAGCCCAGCAGGTCAACGCTGGGGTGGCCGGGAGCGGGCCACTGCACTCCAGCCTGGGCGATGGAGTGAGACTCCAACTCAAAACCAAAACAAAAAATAAAACTTATGAATTGTTACATGCAATTTAAAACTCATGTCTTGTTTATTTCTGGAATTTTCCACTCAGTATTTTCAGCCCATGGTTGATTAGGGGTAGCCCACCGAGGAAAGCAAAACCGCAGATAAGGGGAGACTAGTATAATGGCAGCTCACACTTACTTAATGCTTACAACCCATGGCTCTAATCACTTTGCATGTGTTCATGAATCCCCACACAACCACCATGTTCGTGAGGAAATGGAAACGGAGGGAGAGTCAGTGACGCACTCCGGGTGTCCAGCTGGTGAGCAGCAAGACTGGGCCTCAACGCCCATGCTCCGGCCCCAGACTGCCCCTCCTGACCTCCTGTCCTGCCCATGGCAATGACCCAGAACATGGGAGCTGCTTCCTTCCCTTCCCCCTTTACTGTTCCATGGTGGCCTTAAGCTGTGAGTTCTGTTCCCCCTGTATTTGCTTTGAGTTTATATGCCTATGAATGGTGGTCATATTTCAAGGTGCTGAAAAGAGCTAGCATGTGTCTTTTTACTCTATACAGGTGATCATGTGATGGCAACAGAAGCTGAGAGATCTATAATATCAAGTAAAAGGTAAATAATAAATAATGAAAAATAAAATCCACATCTAACCACAAAGTCTTAGTTTTAGATGACAGAGAGGCTTCCTTACACTATTTGAAGTGTGATATGAAGGATTTCGTGCCTCTCTTTCTTATTTTGTTTTATATTATTTATTCAAAATGATGTTTGGGATGATAAGACTGTTTTCTTTTTCTCTTTGTTTTGAGTTGAGTCTCACTCTTGTCTCCCAGGCTGGAGAGCAGTGGCACGCTCACGGCCACCACAGCCTCAGCCTGCTGGGCTCAGCCATTCCTTCTGCCTCAGCTTTCCAAGTTGCCCAGGCTGATCTCAAACCCCTAGACTCAGGCAATCCTCTTGCCTCAACCTCCCAAAGTACTGGGATTACAGGTTGAACCACCACGCCCAGCTGATGAGACTGTTTTCAACTGACATCTTTAATTTTGTAACATATTATTAAGAATGCTGGTGTTGGCCAGACACAGAAGCTCACGCCTATAATCCCAGCACTTTGGGAGACCAAAGTGAGAGGACTGCCTGAGCCCACAGGTTTGAGACCAGCCTGGACAACTTGGCGAGACCTCATCTCTACAATCAATCAAAAAAATTAACTGGGCATGGTGATGCGTGCCTGTAGTTCCAGTTACTTGGAAGACTGAGGCTGAAGGATCACCTGAGCCCAGCAGGACAAGGCTGCAGTGGCCGTGAGTGTGTCCCTGCTCTCCAGTCTGGGTGACAGAGGAGACTCTTGACTCAAAAAAAAAAAAAGAATGCTGATGTTAAATTTGAGGCTGTTTTGCACAACGGGGGAGGGAGACTTGATGGCATTGAGACCCAGGACATCTGAATACATCATGATCGAGTACCTGGCGGTGGTCCTTACCCTGCCTGTCTTGACCAGGGTTCCCTTCTCCTTGCAGCTATGGCGCTGTCAGTGTGAAAACCGAACCCATGGAAGATTCTGGTAGGTATACCAGTGCTTTTAGAATCAAGTATTTAGCAGGTTATCATTTGACTCTTTTTGTTTTACCAAAAAAAAAAAATGTGGACCAGGCACTAATAAACTTCAACTGGGGCATTATTTGCAGAATAATCATGTTTTATCAAACATCTAGAAAAGGGAACCTTCTGACTCAGTAAATACTAGGTAATAAGTTGTTATTAAATACATATATTTGCAGAAAAATATTATTATTATTATTATTTGAGTTGGAGTCTCACTCCATTGCCCAGTCTGGAGTGCAGTGGCACGCTTACTGCCACCCCAGCATCGACCTGCTAAGCTCTGGAGATCCTTCCACCTCAGCTTTCCAAGTAGCCGGAACTACAGGTATGCGCTACCACGCCCAGCTAATTTTTGATTTATTGTAGAGACGAGGTCTCACCAAGTTGCCCTGGCTGGTCTCAAACTGGCGGGCTCAGGCAGTCCTCTCGCCTCAGCCTCCCAAAATTCTGGAATTACAGGTTGAGCCACCGAGCCTGGCCATCAAAATATTATTTTAATTATATTTAAATTAGAACCTGAATTCAAAATGAGTAAAAACTTTTGAATACAAATTTGGAATTATAACATGACTTGCAAATAGTTTGGGACATAGTTTACTGCCTTCTGGCATTCTTTCATTATCTCTAAATATTTTACAATAAGGGTTCACTATGACAGTGTGTAACAGGGAGAAAATCCCTCCTGGATAGGTGAGGGTAGTTGGCCCCCCATCCTTTCCTCTCCCCAATTCTCAAAAAAAGAAAACTGGAGCTGGGCTCGGTGGCTCAGCCTGTAATCCCAGCACTTTGGGAGGCTGAGGTGAGTGGAATTGCATGAGCCCGCGGGTTCGAGACCTGCCTGGGCAACTTGGCAAGACCTCGTCTCTACAATAAATCAAAAAATCAGCCAGGTGTGGTAGCGCGCACCTGTAGTTCCAGCTACTCAGAAGGCTGAGGCAGAAGGATGGCCGGAGCCCAGCAGGTCGAGGCTGCGGTGACCGGGAGTGGCCACTGCACTCCAGTCTGGGCGACAGAATGAGACTCCAACTCAAAAAAAAAAAAAAAAAAAAGGAAAAAAAGTAGAAAGGTTAGAACACTTAAAACAAGAACACAGAACCAAAACTCAAAAAGCTAAAAGTGAACACAAGCCAGCCATACGTGGGAAAAACTAGAATTTTATGATGCTTAGAAAAACAACCAAAAAATATGAACTAGCCGGGCACAGTGGCTCACACTTGAAAGGCTGAAGTGGGAGGATTGCTTGAGGCCAAGTTTGAGACCAGCTTGGACAACACAGTGAGACGCCACAAAAAATTTAAAAAATTAGTCGTGTGCAAATATGAAATGACAGTTCAAAATGTGAAGCTAAAACTTAATCTAAAGCATCCAAAATAAAATCAGCATTCTGTGTTAAGAAGAAAAGATCTGGAGAAAGGGAAAGTAGAGACGTCAGGCTGAGTAGAATGAAGTCCCTCAAGGGACCCGGGCCACAGGGCTCCTTGACCTGGCTAACCCTTCGTCACACTCCAGGGTCCTTTCACCATAACTGTGGGTGCGCATGTCCCTTCCATCCCCACACCAACATGTGCTTCGTAGAAGCTCCAGCCTCCCAGTGAAAGTCTGAGAAAGTCAGTGCTTGTCCACTTCAGTGGTTCTTGGAAAAACTGACACAAGTTGATGGAAAGAAACGGCCTAGTATTTCAGCTCAGCAAAATTCAGCTGTGGGGTCTTAATCTTGTTTACGACACGACGGGCCTTAAACTCTTGCCCATTTAATTTTAGCTCTGGATGCTTTTCAGAGCTCAAGTGTGTCCTGCCTGTGTCTTAGATGACCACAGAGAATTAAAATCCTCCTAACTGCAGGCTTCTCTTAGAAACTGGAAAGATCTATGGGGTGAGAGGGAGCAGTGATTAGTCTCCCAGGGGCCCCGTGTTGGACCGCCCCACTTACCAGCTGTTGGCTGGGCTAGCAGTCCCTACTCACAGTAGAAATCGGCCTCTTTTGTTGAGGCCTCACTTTGGAGATGTGGCTCAGTGGGAACAGAAATATGCTTCCGATTAATGTAACTTTCTCCTGTGAATTTCATGATGCGGTGTGAATCGCTTCCAGATGCCTGCGGGCTCCCGAGAGCTGGCCCTCCATCAGATTTATTTCTTGTGACGCTTGTGTAGCCCTGGCTACGCAGAACAAGTATTTCAGTGGTTTTGAATTCTTCTTTTCTCTCATTCTCTCTCTTCCTTTTGCTCTCTCTCTCTCTCTCTCTCTTATTTTGAGGAAAGGCTAAAGTAAATCTGTTTTCATTAGCATTTCAAACACATTCTACAGCTGTCAAATCTGGCTCCAACTGTCTGGATTAAAAAGGAATTTTCTTGACAGCACAGCTAGTGAACACATGTTTATCAAATGTTTCTGTGAGTAGAATTGTTAGTGCCTAATCAACCTGGAACTTGTACTTTTCATTCTAAATTTATTATAAAGTAAAAACACTATACATGTTTGACTTGAAAAAGAATTCAGACTAGTATCTTTCCTTCCCATTGCTAGATTCATGACTGAGGCACCTATAACAAAAGACGGATTAACGAGAAAAGCATACAAATGTATTTAATGTTTTACATGACATGGGAGCCCTCAGAAATGAAGACCTCAGGGAACAGGGAAATCCGTGTATTTTTGTGCTTAGGTTTGATTTGAAGAGTGGACAGTTGTGTCAAAGTATGATCAGACAAAGGGGGTGCGATCTGATGGTAATAAACTGGGGGCAACTCAGCAAGGCCTATTTGTTCAGCTTCTCTGTGTCCCTGTGACTTCAGAGATAAGGGTGTTCCATTCCTCTGGGTGGAGGGAGGGCGCCAGTAGACTGAGGGTTTTGTGGCCTGCTTCAGGGGAGCAGAGTGAGAGGAAGGGGAGAGAGACCTTCCTGCTTCTGTTTTCTCGAATGCCAAGGTGCTATATTTTAGGGTAGCGTGTCCTGAGCCCCATCAAGTAATAAGTAGTAATAAGTAAATTCCTCTTCACCCTTCCACTTTCCCCTCCCCAAAGTCCATCCTCCCCCAAAACTCTGTGCCCCTAAATCCCCTACATACATCAAATTACATCCCCATTTTAGAGGCAACAATTTAACTGTTTTGTGAAAGTTCTTTCAGAATACTTACAAACAGGCTGGCTCGGTGGCTCAGCCTGTAATCCCAGCGCTTTGGGAGGCCAGGGCAAGTGGATTGCCTGTGCCTGCGGGTTCGAGACCTGCCTGGGCAACTTGGCGAGACCTCATCTCTACAATAAATAAAAAATTAACCGGGCATGGTAGCACGCACCTGTACTTCCAGCTACTTGGAAGGCTGAGGCGGAAGGATCACTGGAGCCCAGCAAGTCGAGTTTGTGGTGGCCGGGTGCGGCCACTGCACTCCAGTCTGGGTGACGGAGTGAGATTCCAATCCCCCGCCCAAAAAAAACCAGAATACTTATAAACAAACGTATAAATAGCGTTTTTTCTTTTTTATGCATAGAGAGGCCTCCATTTGCAATTTTCCTTTACTCTTTCCATCACTTTTGTCCTTTTGTTCCATTCTGAGTAATTTGCTCAATTTAATCTTCTGTTTCAAAAATATGGCCATATGCTGGATCCATTCTGTTAGTCAGTTTTCTACCAGATTTTTCCTTCTTACAATCACATTTTTTTAATATCCAGATTCATTATTCTTACCAGCAGAGCTGTTCAAGGTTTAAAGAAGACCCCTCAGAATTGTAAATTATGCTAAATAGTGAATCCCAAGCTGTGCCACAGGTTTTGCTTTTGTTGCTGTTAACATTCATGGTTAAATTATGTGTATATTTTAGTATCAGATATCTATTGCTGTATGAAAAAGTACCCCAAAATATAGGGGCTTCTACAGTGATTTTTTTCTGTCTCACATTTCTGAATGTTGACTGGGCTGGATAGGCAAGGGCTGGATGCCTCAGTGGGGACAGCAGGGCCTCTCTTCTCACGGCCTCACGTCCCAAAGGAGGGGGCTAGGCAGGTTCCATTGACATGAGGTTCCCGAGGTAGCAGGCATGGTGCTCAAGCACTCTTCAAGCCTCTGCTTGCACCCATCTGCTAACATCCCATTGGCCAAAGCAATGGCCGGGCCCAGCTTTAAAAGGCAGAGAAGTAGACTCTGCTTCTAGAAAGGTGACTTGAGAAAGTTCCATTGCAAAGGAGTGTGCATCCTGGGATGGGAGAAATTCATGGCTCACTCTTGCAGTCTTCACACCTTTTGTGGATAAAGGTCTTTGGTTTTACTAATGTAGTTTCCCTAGGTTTTAAAACTAGTTCCATTATAGGGGTAAGTTAAGATCATACACGCCAGTTCAGGTCCCGTTATAGAAGACTATTTACAGCCTTTCACATAAATGCACGGATCTATTCAACCATGTCAAAAAGAAAACTGAGACTAGAACTGGAAACTAAGGTCTTCCTCCATTCCTTCCGTCTTCCTCCCCTTCCTCCTTCCTGCTGTCCTTCCATATTGATTTTACATTGATATTATGTTATCTATAAATATACGTAATTATGTAAATATATTATTATATTTATTTCATATTTATGACATTTATATTTTGTATCAGTAAGCCACATTTGTTCACAGTGAGTGAGCTACAAGTTTTTTTGCTAATTGTAATGTTAATCAAAAAAGAGAGCCGGGCTCAGTGGCTCAGCCTGTAATCCCGCGCCTTTGGGAGGCTGAGG